TAGGTTTCGAGCCTTCCGATTAATACTGGTAAAAATGACAGTTTGGTAGTACTTGTAGAGTCTACTTGCAGACACCAGCCTAGGGATTACCAGTGTCATATTTACCGCCCCTTATGATTTAAAACTTGTGGTTGGGAAATTGATGAGATTGGAAAATGTTCATTGAAAAACTTGGTGATTATCAAGAAAAGCATGACATGAGATTATTTTGAAATGGCATGGCATAACATTTGCATTTACATTAAATGTTAAGAATCTTGCATAAATGTATATACTTTGTTAAGGTTCCTCTACTGGGCTTATGCTCACCCCTATGGGTTTTGGTGTAGGTAAAGATGTTGGAATTTGCAGATTTTGAAGAACATATGGAATGTCTATGAATTTTCCTTCTTTATTTCTTGTGTTCAATGAATGAGGTAGTGTAATTCCTATCACTTTTTTTGTTAAATATCAACCTTCTTAAAAATATGAGCAATGAGGAATTATTTTAAGACATTATTAATAAAGGTTATGCATGTATTGTTGTGATGTGACAATGGTTGTGAACCATGAAATGTATGAATTGTGAATTGTATAGTTTAATGTTGAAACATCATATGAGGCCTTGAGGAGGCTAGCTTGTTATGGTTTGAACATGGTGAGAGATTATGGTTATGATAAAAAAAAAAAATTTGAACCGAGTGGTTATGATAAATTGATGGTATGGTAAATTGATGTTGCTTAGAGATAATTGGAAATGGGTAATGCCTCGAAGCATGAGAAAGATTATTTCATGGCATACACATCTCAAATGATTTTATTATGCGTTGTAAATTGAGATTGGGAACATTTATTTCACGAGAATAAGATATTGTAATGGAACTATGAAAATGCATATGGGGTAAATACGGTGGTAAGTCCGAATAGGGGGTGTAAATGATTTGATAAGTTGGCCTGAGTGTCCATGGTCAAAGACCAGAAACCCGCACAGATAGGTGTCGAGCCTTCCGGTTAATACCGATAAAAATGACAGTTTGGTAGTACTTGTAGAGTCTACTTGCAGACACCAGCCTAGGGATTACCAGTGTCGTATTTACCACCCCTAATGATTAGGAGTTGAGCTTGCAAATTTTATTTGAAAGTTGGTAATCTTTAGTAGAGCATGAAATGGATTTCTTTTTAAAAGGTGCATGGCATGACATTGACATTTGTATTTTTAATTGAAGTTGGTCAACTGTATATACTTTGTGAGAGTTCTCTATTGGGCTTTATACTCACCCCAATGGGATTTGGTGCAGGTAAAGATGTGGTGATCCTGTCGAACTGAGGGCGTGGATATTTTTGAGAAGAGTACATAGCTCTTTCATTTTTGTGTAATTCTTTTGTGAGCCAAGGGCTAATGTGTATGGGTTGTAGAAACCATTTTGTGTAACCGGGCTTTTGCCTTGGAAGATGTAAGCCCTTAAGGGCATTCTATTGTTTTGGGACTAGATGCTTCACATGCTATAGATTCATGTGTTCTTTTGTTTCGTTCAATGTATACTGCATATGGAACATCTGTATAAACTCATTATCAATGATGCAAAAGTGGAAGGTTTATTGCTATTGTTAGTGAATTCTAATTAATATGGACAGTTCATTTGGAATTATTTAGGGGTGTTACATTTTAGGATTACGCTTCTAGATCTTGTTTTTGGATATTAGGGTTTATATCTGGGGCTATTTGCTAGTTTTCCTTGATGTTTGATTGAGTATTCAACTCATGATTTAAGAAGTATACATCAAAGGATTGTTTGTTTATTCCATACAAAAGAGAGAGTTGTTCTTCGGTGGATTCTAGAGAATTTGAGCCTGAAGCTTTGGTGGATTCCGAAGTGGCTCATTGTCGTGGATTCAACATCGGCGTTCTGGATTCAACGTTGGGCAAGACAATTCCGAGGTGAAGATGGGGCTGGAAGAGACACATAGGGGTTGGTTCAATTGAACGTGGATTCGCTAGGTAATTGAGAGTATACTTGTGTGATTCCTTTATGTCTTTTTAGTGAATTGTTTTGTGGCTTTTGCCTGTGATTTTTTTTTTATCACAATTGGAGGTGGTCCGATTGTGGTTTTTCCATGTAAAATCATTGCGTTGATTTGTCTTTGATTGTTTGATTGAGATTGCTATTTATTGATTAAAATTGATACATAATCACAAATCAATATCTTGGGGATTTCTAGATTTTTCAAGGTTATTAGAAGATTTTCTTCTTTTTCATTTAAGACTCTACTAGCTTCATGAAGTTTGATCATGCTTAGAAGAAAAAGCAATACAAGAATGGCTAATAAGACAATGTTTAGCAGTCTCATCATCTTGTTGTTTTAGGCAAGCAATGAGTTGGTAGAACTATATGCAGCATAGGCGGGATATTAATTGCAACATTATGCCATCAAGTGGCATATATGACTCGAATTGAAGATGAGTAAAGCTGTATACACCAATCACTCTACTAACAAACATACCGACAGCTGATGTGGCATTGCCACTTTAGACCTACAGGACCCACCCAATATACAAAGAAACAAAACATTTTGTCTTCCTAAAATTACTCTTCTGCATTAACATTAAAAGAATGTTTGGGAAGTGGAGAAATTATTCAATAATCTGAGAGGAGTGTTTTTTTTTTTTTCGATTCGAAAAAATGTATAAAAAAGTAGAGAGTGGTGATTTTTTTTTTTCGATTCGAAAAAATGTATAAAAAAGTAAAGAGTGGTGTGATTGAATATTTTGACTTTTTAGTTATTTTAGCCAAAAAAATAAATACCCCAAACGAGGCCTAATTGTCTTGCTGATCACTGTCCTTTAAGCATTGGTTAAATAACAAATTATATCAAAAAAATTTAAATTTTAATGCACATTTTATATATTTTTTTACATTAAAGCTGTTACAGGACACATTCTTACAAAAGATCATACTATATGTACTTTATCATAATATAACCATAACTTTTGGCAGCAAAGATTAAATGACTTTTCTCACCGAAATAGTTATAACATTTATCAACACAAATGATTTGTTGCATTTAAATCACATCATTCATAACATAATCACAATTATTCATAATCTTTACTTTAGAAATGCGCACTATGAATTCGCCCAATTGTAACTTTTATCGCAAAATACCATAGTCAATACCACAAAATGGCGTCACATTTCTTATGGTCTACCCTTTTTGGGAATGTACACCATAATTGAGAGGGTAATTTTTGGTAAAAATTGGGCCGAGCTGTGTGATGAGAATTGTGGCCCGAAGTGCCAAGGACTGGGTGAAAAACCGCAAAGTTATTTAGGCCCAGGAGAAGTATAGTTACTTAGGCCCAGGAGAAGTATAGTTACTCCGGCCCAGGAGAAGCGTAGTTACTCCGGCCCAGGAGAGGTATGGTTACTCCGGCTCGAGAATATGTGAAGCTACTCCAGTCCGGAGGCAACTTGAAGTAAGTCCGGCCTTACATTTAGTCCGGTCGTGACACATTATGGATAGATCGGTCAGAGCTTTCTACTTGGAAGCTTGGTCTAAACACACCATGGATGAACAAGAGAAAGCCGAGATAAGGAGTAGGAGGAGAAAACCGAACTAAGGATAGCTCGGGCTACTCTGTGGCTCAGCATAGCCAGTTTTACTTCAATCGAGTGGTAGTTCGGCCATAGTGAAAACCATCCCACTTGGTTTAAGCAGTGGGGGTGTAAAAGGATAAGCATTATCCTTAGGAGTATGAATCCTAGGAGGACTCTGCATGAAGGAATAAAAGTCCTACTAGGATTGTGCCACTCGAAATCTATAAAAGCTCACAAGCATCACCTTGGGGGAGGTAACAACATAACATAACACAACATACAATTTTGCTTTCTGAATACATTGAGCTTTGTCTATTTGTCAAGTTTTCTGACTTAGGCATCGGAGAGGTTTCCGGCACACACCCGCCGGCTAGCTCACGTTTGTGTTTTCAGGTGACAAAGCGACGTCGTACGGAGAAGCGTGGACTTGGTCAACAGGATTATACGAGGAGAATTATTTCCTCCCCGTACAATTGGCGCCGTCTGTGGGAAAAACAGACAAGAAAATAAAAGTCCTACTAGGATTGTGCCACTCGAAATCTATAAAAGCTCACAAGCATCACCTTGGGGGAGGTAACAACATAACATAACACAACATACAATTTTGCTTTCTGAATACATTGAGCTTTGTCTATTTGTCAAGTTTTCTGACTTAGGCATCGGAGAGGTTTCCGGCACACACCCGCCGGCTAGCTCACGTTTGTGTTTTCAGGTGACAAAGCGACGTCGTACGGAGGAGCGTGGACTTAGTCAACAGGATTATACGAGGAGAATTATTTCTTCCCCGTACAATTGGCGCCGTCTGTGGGAAAAACAGACAGAACAAAACCTCTTGATTAAAGCTTCTCCCCTTTACATTCAATGGCACACATTGAAGAATTACCGCAGTCCGCTGTTGACGGACTAACTCCAGAAGGGGGCGCAAGGTGTGAAGGATTACCTTCTGTCCCTCCCATGGCGGACCTGGAGCCACAACGACATACCTCCAGAAGGGATGCTAGGGGAAGACGGAATCACAGCCCCCGTCAATCCCATTCTCAAAGTCCCGACCGGCAAAGACGAAGGATTGACCCTTGAACTCTGGAAGATCGCGTGAAAGAACAAGATGAATTGATAAGGAAGATGGCGGCGGACATGGAGGCCTTGAAACGCCAGATGAAGAAAAAATAAGTGGCGACAGGAGAGGGGCGCAAAAACAAGACGCCCCCTCGCCACCCGAAAAATCGTAGTAGGAATACTACACCCTCACAAGGAGAGAGCAGAAGCCTCAGGACAGGCGACACTCAATCCTGGTCTTCCAGAACTCGTCACTCCAGATCTGAGAGGATGAGATCTGAAAGATCGTATACTGAAGGAAGCACGTATTGGCCCTCGCATTCACACCAAACTAGATCCAGACAGACAGAATTACCCAGATCATCCGACACGCATTCATGCCCCATTAATATCTCCTTTTCCCTAACTGGCCTGTGATCAAGACCTCCCAAATTTTCACTAGTCCGAACTTGGAAATTGAGGTTATCAAGCTTCTTTAGAAGCAAACTGGTCAGTTTGTACTGTGAGAAATGAGCAACAGAGACTGGGCTAACTACTTGCTCAAGATCTGTAGACAAGGAAATATGAGAGAGATTAAGTTTTGCAAAACATGACAATCACGGGTCAGCATATCACAACATTTTCTGCCGTCTTAACCCTACGATTAGTGTTTATAAAAGATACCCCACTGTCTAAGTCACCGTGTTGGAATGTTACAAAGATTAATCACACCTTGAGGTTGCATGTGGTCTACTGACCCAAGGATAGAACCATAAAGTGATGTGCAATATATAAATTTTCTCCACAAATCTACTGGTGGTTGGGACCTTTGGATGTCCTCTGCTAGTCCATCTAATTTGCGGAACACCTGGGAAAGAACTGCACATCAAGACAGAAGTATACCACTGATGAATTCAGAATGTTACGAAGGGCCATCTCAACCACGTCTTATAAGAAAACCCACCTCCATAGATCGATTGTTGATGAAATGTGCCTGGGGATGTTTAGAAAAAGTCCTGCTTTTCTCTAAAACTGCACACTTGACACCTATTAGAGGCCATATGGTACAAGCAAAGTTTAGACACTGTTCCCAAATTCAGTGAAACAAAAGAAAATCTATAACAAGAAAATAAGAAAGAAGAGAAAGATAATGACAAAAACAAAATGCCGGCATGTACTACATTTGGCATGCACACATGCACAAATCCACCCACAGAAAGAGGGAGAGCACTAGTAAAGAACTGAACAATAAAATTTATGGCAGTTTGGTGATAATGAATTTAGAGAGAGAGAGAGAGAAAGAGAGAGAGAGGAGATTAAGAAAAAAGGTAGGCGTGCTTAATTTCTTCCCGAACATAAGAAAACCCTTCAAAGCATTTTTGTCTAATAAGAGGTCAGTTGAGATTAAGATGCTGAAAGATACCAACAACTTGAAATTAGACAAAAACTATAGACCTTGAGAAGCTTATTAGAATTCTTACTGAATGTAGATCATGACTTGCTTAGCAAGATTCAGAGCTTTCCCTGTAGGAAGATCATACATATTATGCTCAACAAACACAACAATTACATTTGCTTCTCAGTTTTGAAGAGAATTGTACACTTCAAGATGCAGCTAAAATTAGCAATCTGCCCAAAGAATCTAATCTTTGTCATTCTTCTTACCAAGTACAACTTCAAACTTCCACAAATGCTACAAATTCCCAAAATGAAGAACTCTCCGGCTGTGTTTGGATTTTCGATTTGTGGAGGGAAAAAGAAAAATGAAATTAGAAGCTAAATTTTTCTCTTTTCCCTCCACAAATCCAAGATGCAAACACCAACAAATCAGGCTTTAGGAATTGAGAACCAAAAATCAATTTCAAGGAAAGTCTATGCAAAGATTATAATTAACTCAATCAAATTCAAAGTGCACCAATTGAGAAAATACATAAATCCTAGCAAAAATCATTGCTCACACATCAATGACCAAACCAAGCAGATAACAAAAAACCATGCTAACTTGATGAGAAAACACACGACTGCACTAGTAACCGAATAACAAGTCATGAATTTTCAAGTTTTACAATTTCCCACACTTTCCGGGCAACCAAACAGACGATCACGGGTTACCTAATTTGGTGAGAAGTAAAGAGAGAACGAGTCCAACAGGGCCAGCACCGACGATCAGAACAGGCAATATCGAATCGTGACCGTTGAATTTATTGGAGTCTGAACATAAAGCTCTTCTTCTCTGTAAATTCTCGAACGAGTATGTTATTGTTCTGTTTCTGATGATGTAGAAGATTCCGCCATTGAAGCTCTTCGTAAACCCTAACACGCCCATTGCCGAGAGAGAAAGAGAATGACGAGTTCAGAGGTCCACCATTGAAGCTTGTTTTCAAGCACTGAGAAGTGCTCGGGAAGCGACGTCGTTTGCTGAATTCGATTTGTGGCTTGGCCTTTGGCAAGAGGTTTCATCCCCGCCGTTCATTTCTTTTGGTCGTCTTTATTACAGTTTTTGGCTTTAAATTTTAGGCTAAATCATTTATGAAACCGTTCCTATTGATTTCTTAATTATAAAATCGTATAAGGCCAAGTTTGGCAACTCTTAAAAAATTTAAAAAGTCAAAAAATCACTATCCTATTTAAATCACATCATCTTATTTAAGTCACATCACCTCTCTAACACATCACTTCAAACCCAACTCATATTTCATAAAAAGTCAAAAAGTGCACTTATTTAGTCTTCCCAAACTTGACCTAAATACATATTTTTAAAAAATTTTAAAAAGTGAAAATGATACATTTTATAATTAAAATCAAAATATATAAATTTACAAATGAATATATATAATAATATTAAATAATAATTAAAGAGTCCTGATATAAATAATCTAAATAAAAATACTTTAAAACCTCATATCGTATTTAAATTTTATTCTTTTAGTATCGTTATATATTTTTTTTAGAAGCACTGGATACAAATCAAGTTACTTGTATACCTAAAAAATTTATTCAAAATTTATTCATTAATTAAGTAAACATGTCAAATCTAAATATATTTTAAAATGATTCTATGCGAGCAATAGCCATTGATAAATGCACTAGATGCATCAATATTCAAGAATCACACATGGGTGTTATCTAAACTTATTATTCTTTACATTTAGGCATTATTTGGCATCTTCTATTTTAATATATTTTTTTATTTTTTTTAAGTTACATTATTTCTCTATTTTTTTATATATTTTTTTTTTATAAAAAGTTAAAAAATATATTTATTTTTTGTCCTAATAAAAATTTTAAAAAAGAAATAAAAGTAATCTATAAATAATTGTCCTAATAAAAATTTTAAAAAATAAATAAAAGTAATGTTTTATACAAAAGTTAATAGAAAAATGTTTACTTGCAAATTGCAATTGGCAATGCACATGGGTCACAATTCATAGCACGTTAAGGCCCATTTGCATCTACAAGAGCCCCTCTCTAAAAATAGTTTAGTACGCTAGGGGTCCCGATGTTGTTTCATCTAAATTTGAACAAAAATGCTCATCTTTCATTTGTATTTTTTTAAAATTGAAATTAAATTGATATTAATTTTTTTAAAAACACAAAAGATACTTTTATTTTTTTTTTAAAATAATCATTATTGACCATCTGCCACCACCATGAGCAATCAAACATCATCTGAAGACTCTTCGACAAGTTTTGATTACCTTTTGACAAGCTCTAATAATACTTAGATGGTAGATGCACGTGATTTTTGATGATTTTCTAATCACTCTATAACCTTCGATGGAACTTCGATGACAAACTCAAAAAATCACTTTCACCGACAACAAGAAATAATACATATTTTAAAAGTCAAAATTATTTAAACTCCAACCAAAATTCTTTGGCATGGCCATGGATTTAAGAACAACCCAAATGGGCGCTCTCATTGTATCTACACATATTCCTCATTAATTACCCAATGGGGGACAGTAGGGTCCTCACTGAAGACAGTGCCCAATTCAGGGTGAGAGTGGGACATTCAAACAGTGAGTCTCCAAATCCTAAGTTGATCCAATCGTGAAAACTTGATAACAAAATACAAAATATCGAGTCCAAATTACTTCAGGAGACAATTGAATATTTACCTAATTATTAAATTTAGAATTTAAATTGAGCTGAAATTAATAGTTAACTCGTGTAATGCACGAGTTATTTTTGTAAAAAAAAAGAAAAAAGATAATACAATATGTTTTATAAAAAAATAATTTAAAATTAAAATTAAAATTAAAATATGATTTCAATTATTTTTCTAATAATATTTTTCTAATAAAATTAAAATTATTTTTCTATAAAATTATTACTTAAATACTTATATATATTAATTTTATTTAAATTATTTGTATATTTTGATAATTTTAATTCTATAGTATTATAAAAGTATAATTATTATATAATAATTTTGTATGATATATATTAAATTATAAAATAGTAAAATAAATATTTATTTTAATATTAAAAGTAATAGTTAAATTAGAAGAAGAATTAGTAATATAAAATTAAAAGTAATTATAACTATTTAATTTTCTTTTATATTCATTTGGAAAATAAAAATATGTAGAAATAGAAATTATATAAAATTTATTAAAAAATCAAATATAAATATGTTGTAGTTAGATTATCATGTAATGATTTTATAAAATAGGTAAAATTAATATAATTTAAATTATGTTTGGATTTGTATAGAACTCTATATGTAATTAAGAAAATACATACTGATATGTCTTTCTTAAAAAAAAAAAAAAACCCTTATAAACATGAGAAAAATATTATTCTTAATAGGGCAAATTACATATACACCCCTCCAGGTTTGGTTAAATTACAGATACGCCCCTGAGGTTTCGGAAATTACATCCCGCCCCCTGAGGTTTGTATTTTCATAACAATTTACCCCCTGAGGTTTATATTTCATAACAAATTACCCCCTAATTTGTTATGCAAATGTAGCATTCAAGGGGAATTTGTAATTTCTCAAACCTCAAGGGGGTATTTGTAATTTAGTCAAATCTCGAGGGGGGTATATGTAATTTGCCCTTTTCACAAACAAGACAGGTGCACCCCACGGTGAAGTACTGGACCTGATGAACTTCTTATCTAACAGTTCTTGCAGTTGCACCTTTAGTTCTTTTAATTTAGTTGGTGTCATTCTGTAAGGAGCTTTAGATGCAGGCTGTGTACCCGAAATCACATCAACGGTAAACTCAATCTCCCTATCAATCAAATCCCCTGGAAGATCATCTGGAAATACGTCTGGGAATTCTCTGACTATAGGAATACTGTTCACATCAATTTTAACATCAGTAGGCACAGTCAATACAAAACAGAAATGATGTTAGGTTGTTTGAAACTGCTGTGTGCATAGTGAAACCCTAGCCAAGCTAGGAGAAGCTCAGAAAGACTACGACGACAGATCACGGTGCACCTTCCACAAAGAAAAGGGGCACCGAACTGAGAATTGCACACCGTTGAGGCAGCACTTGGAAGAATTGGTAGCAGCAGGACACTTGGACAAATACATTGAAGGAGGGACGCAGCCAGCCCCCCAGAACCATAACAACCCCAATGGAATGCCGCTCGATGCCCCACCTCAAGGCGTTATCGATGTAATTCATGGGGTTTTTGAACCTGAGCGTGTATGTGAGCTCAGAGGATCGATCAAAAAGCTGAGCACTTTGGAGAAGTGCTAAGTGCCCAACCTGCCATCAAGAAGGGGAAGACAGAGGCAACAAACGTCATGTCCTTTTCGGATAAGGACTTAGAACGAATTTACTGCCCCCATAATGATGCCCTGGTTGTCACTCTCCAAGTCAAGGATTTTGACGTCAAGCGGATTCTGATTGACCAGGGTAGTTCATGCGAGATCATGTACTACGACACATTCAAACAACTAAAGTTACAAGACAAAGACTTGGCGCCTGCAGTATCTCCCCTAATTGGATTCAACTCCATGCCAGAGTGGCCCGTCGGCAAAATAATTCTTCTAGTCAGAGCAGGAAGTGTAACAAAACAAGTGGAGTTCTGGGTATTGAAGGTCCCCTCCACTTACAACATCATCTTGGGCAGAACATGGCTGCACGCCATGTGTTCGGTGGCATCATCATACCATCAAGTGATGCGGTTTCCCAACACCTCCGGTATAATTGAAGAGGTATATGGAGATCAAATCATGTAAAAACAATGTTTCGCCACGGTGAATGGCAGCCGCGCCGCCAAAGGGTACGTTCATTCGGTGGAAGAACCAGAAAGTAATGAGCTATTCGCAGACGTCGGCAAAGAGGCTGATCAAAAAGCGGTGGAAGACTTAGTGGAGGTAAAAATAGATGAGAAGAACCCGGATAAGTTCTTCTTGCTTGGCTCCTCGTTGTCCAGCACTGAGAGATTAGAGGTCTTGGAGTTCTTGACCTCTAACATCGAAGTGTTTGCCTGGACACCTTACGACATGCCAGGCATTGATCCAAACTTCATCAGCCACCAACTCAATGTCCACCCATCCGCCAGACCAGTCATTCAACGCACGCGCAGATCGACACTCCACCACGCGGAAATAGTGGCGGAAGAAGTAGGCAACCTGCTGGAGGCAGGAGCAATTAGAGAAGTACACTATCCAAGATGGATCTCCAACACAGTCGTAGTGCCAAAGAAAAATGGCAAATGGCGAGTCTGCGTCGACTACAAAACAGTCAACAAGGCCTGCCCAAAAGATAGTTTTCCTCTACCAAGGATAGTCAATTGGTGGACCTAACGGCAGGGCATAACCGACTTAGCTTTCTGGATGCATACAGAGGCTACTACCAGATCGCCATGCATGAACCCGACCAAGAGGTCACATCCTTCACAACACCAAGGGGGCTTTATTGCTACAAGGTCATGCCCTTTGGCCTAAAGAACGCAGGGGCGACATTCCAAAGGATGGTCACCAAGATGTTCGAACCATTGTTAGGCAGAACAATGGAGGCTTACATCGACGACATGGTGGTCAAGAGAAAGGATGAGAATGACCATCTTAAAGACCTAGATGAGATGTTTGAGATCCTAAAGAAACACAAGTTGCGCCTTAATGCGTCCAAGTGTGCATTCGGAGTAGGATCTGGCAAATTCCTGGGTTTCCTTGTGACCAACCGAGGTATAGAAACAGACCCCTCCTAGATCAAGGCAATCCAAGATTTGGAGAGACCAAACTCTGTGAAAGAAGTGCAGCATCTCACCGGCATGGCAGCTGCACTCAACCGGTTCATAAGCAGGTCGTCAGATATTTTACAACTCCAAGAGGATTATACTGTTACAAGGTCATGCCCTTTGGCCTAAAGAACGCAGGGGCGACATTCCAACGGATGGTCACCAAGATGTTTGAACCATTGTTAGGCAGAACAATGGAGGCTTACATCGACGACATGGTGATCAAAAGCAAGGATGAGAATGACCATCTCAAGGACTTGAGAGAAATGTTTG